CCTTGTCCGTTTGAGGAGCAATACATCGCAGAGGGTGCTTGCGTGCCCGAAGGCCAGCAGACCACTCCACTTCTAGCCACCATCCATGTCGTCCGCTCCATTGGCCAGTTGACTCGGACCTTACGAAGCTACACCGTTTCCACCGGAACTCTTGAGACTTTTGAACGACACTTCAGCGCTTGCCTTGCAACCTTTCCTCCCCAATACCATCCGAAGTCCGATTTACCTCTCGATCCGCGCTCTCTTGCCCCGATTGGCTATCTTCAAAATGCTCGCCTCATTCTCCACCGTCATAACATATCTCCCTTTTGCTCTCCCGACGTACGATCGGCGGCTTTGGACTACAGCATTTCAATCGCAAAGGATACTGCCCATCTTCTTTCCCGTTGCATGCGCTATGCTTCGAGTACAGGGAATAATGACTGGCGACCATTGTTTGCATCGTCGGCCGGGACGATGCTGTGTACACATATCTGGCGTTGTGTGCTTTTGCTTTTGTTTCGTCAGGAATTTGCTGCGGCATTGGTGTGCGTTCAGGTCAGCGCTGTGGTTGGAGATTCGCGCACCGTCAACGCAGCCTGTGGACGGTACATCACCTTCTTCCTCAAATGCCTGCTGGAGCGGTTGCGCCGGGGTGATGCAGCCATTCTGGAGCGGGACGAAGAAATGATGGCGTATGTGTCTGGTGACATGCAGGGAACTAGTGACGGCAGCTGGATATGGGAAGGCAGTGAGGCTGGTTCTCAGCTAGAGGCCATGTCCCCAAAATACGACAGCCCAGTATCGTTCACCCACGCTGGTGCCCGGAATGATTGGCCTAGCGGAGAAGGTTCAGAGGTCGCTTGGGAGGGCTGGGAGTGGGTCGAGCGGACGGTCGAATATCTCTTGAAGGAGAAGCAGCAGCAACAGCAAGAGTACGAGCGTCGGGATGTTCCGCTGGCCGCGAAACCAACCGAGCCGGTACTTCTCAAAACGGAGCCAGCAGAGCCAGCAACAGCGCCAAAAGAAATGAACTCGGTTCAGTCACGGATGACGATTGCGAGCATCATCTGATCTGTACAAGACTGCTTGTCAGAAGGGTTATGAGCGCGCCCTTTGCATGAAGCGTCGCCAACGAATTCGAGCTCGTGCTCCACGTACATACTCTCTTCCCGACCAGTCGCTCCGCGACAGCAGGAGCGAGGTACGGAATCGGGGCAGCAATCTACTTCCGAATGGATTTTGTCGGTGCCTTCGTATTATCTTCACCAGTACTAAGACTGGATTGAGGGTTTGGGCCACATACGAGACGAGATAATGGTTTACGACAAATTTCTGCTTATATGTTTGCCTATGTATACATACAGAACGATATCCTAATATCCATGCAGATAGTGACATCCATAGAATTATACCATCAACCGGGTCATAACGGTTGACGGGTCTGTTCATCATTGCTGCTGACCAAAAGCCGAATATCTTCTTGAAGAAGCAAGAGCAAGTAGAAGAAGAGTAGAAATTTACGTCTCCAGATTGATACTGCGTCCAAACCGCGCGTACAGTGCAACCTTGAGCTGCTGCAGCTCCTCACGTACATCTCCCAAGGTCTCCTCCAGCCTGGACACCTCCAAATCAATCTGCTTAGTCGACGACTCCAGAAGAGACTGCGCATCTGCCAGAGGCAGCTGGAAGAAGGCGTCACCGATCTTGTACCTGCTATGCGTCAACAACATCCAGCCTGACGGTGTACATGAATAAAAGCAGAGCACAAAAGGAAATACATACGGGACTAACTCATCCTCATCCGCCAACTCGAGCTCAGTCGAAATCTCCTCTAGATCCTCCTTGTCTTTCTATTTACGTAGCATCAGTATCACCAACTGGAGCCAATGGCATCCCCAGAATCGGAGAATGAGCGTGAACGTACCTGCTTCGCCTTAAGCTGCTCCTCGAGCACAGACGTGCGCTGATGAAGACGGCTGAACCGATTGATCTTCTCTTGGTCCTCGCGCCGGACTTCGTTTTCTTCGCTGCCGACTGTGGCTTCGTCTTCTTTGCTGAGCTGGGGGAGCGTTAGGTTTGGCTTCTACGGTTGGGGATGGTGGTGGGGCTTAGGATTTTTTAAGGCGTACCATGCGATGATTCATCATTTTGTTTATGGCTTAGGGTTTAAGTGAGGGTTGAGAGCTTTGTGGTGGTGGTCTTAAAAGGGCTTGAGTATCTGATTCTTGGTGGATTTGGAGATTGATTTGATTGTGGTGGGAGGTGGTCCGTGCGGGGCAGGATATAGCAGCATGGCTGTTCTGTTAGGATGGGACGAGATGAGATGGTATACTCTTGGTATCGTCTATTGTCATGGAGTGTTTTAGAAAGACAGTGTACTCGGTGAGTATTGCCTTATGATCTATGTTTGATTTGTACAGACTGGTGAGAATTGCTGTGATTCTTGACCTGGACATGTACTGCATCACTGATGCTCAGGAGCTGCGATGCGTCCATTGTCGTGTAGAGAGTCTACTCGTAGTTTCGAGGCCATAGAAATGAAATACCGGTGGCTACGTCTAGGAGGCAGCAGATGTACTAAAACTGGCTATAGGCTTCTCTAGTATTCTTGTCTGGTCAGGATAGAGATATCGACACAACTGGATGACAGCGGTCGGGTGACATCATCAGCAGCTCCCTGTCATCTCTCCTCCGCAAGAAGGATCATTTAGAGCTGGATAGAATAGCTACTTGTTGCCTGCTACGAGGGCATAATCGTCCAGCTCGTTGAGCATCAGTGTACTTCATTTATACCTGAGTGCTGTGGAACGAGGTGATAGGAGCTGTCCTGCAACGATCGGTCGCAATCCGGAGAAACGAATCCCCAACTACAGCACGATTAAACCGCATCCATCTCGTTCTGTGCATCCAGCCAGCCAGCACAGCAATCTATCCTTTGATTCCCCTTTACCAATTTCATCTACATATATTATTCTCTAGTATACTGCATCATAAGCACACGTTTTTTTACGATCGTATAATCCAGACAGCCGGTCCAAATCGCGTTTTCCGACTCAGTGACACTGTTGGTCCGTGACCTCACGCTCTGCCTTCAAGACAGGCATCACCGTTCATTCAAACAACAATATCATCTTTGCGCTCTCGCTGAACTTAGAAACCGAAACCGATTATAAACGGCCTCGTCGATCGTGTAACGCTACGCTACGCACTGCCTTTCCCTCGCTCGCACCCTCGTGACATCATCCCACAATGCGAATACAATCGAGCCTCTCCTCATCCTTGCTCTTCTCCTCCGCGCTCTTGACCGGTCTAGCCTCGGCGTCAGGGTCGTTCGACTGCCATAATATCATCGCAGAGGGGAACAAGTACGACCTCTCCGGCTTGCACGGCGTGCACACGATCTACCATGTCGACAAGGCGGAAGACTACATCGTGAACACGACCTACGTGCTGGACATCTGCAAGGCGCTCGGCAAGGCCTCGATCCGGGGGGATCTAAAGTGCGGGACTTCAAAGAATAGTGCGTGCCGTGGCATCTTGGACCTGTTGAATTTAAGGGAAAAAAATGAATGAGTGCTGACTGTTGTTCTACTCTGTAGTCTGCGGATTCCAGTACAAGTATACCGAGGACCACTTGGAGGAGATTGGCCATGCCTTCCCCATTGCCGGACTGGACCCCCTGGGTCATGGCAGCAAGGACGCCGAGGTCACGCGGCTGAAGGGAGATGGGCAGGAAGGGCTCCTGGTAAAAATGGCGGGGGGCGAGTATATCGACAAGGACAAGAAGAAGAAGGTTGCCCGGGCGGTGATTGAGTTCCACTGCGACCCCGATCGGTCAGGTCTGGAGGGGTTGTCTTCTGTGGAGGATGAATCGAGCGAGGAGGAGGAGGAGGAGGAGGAGACGCGCCGGCGGTTGGTGGTGCGGGAGGATGAAGGCGACAAGAACAAGGATAAGGACAAGGACAAGGAGAAGACGGACCCGAATGACGGGTCGGACCCCTCGCGCAGCTTGCAGTTTGAGAGTTTCGGGCCCGCGGACGACGATGCGTACGTGTTGAAGCTGAAGTGGCGGACGCGGTATGCGTGTGACAATTATGTCCGCGACAGGAAGGGCGACGGGTCAAGCCATTGGGGGTTCTTTACTTGGTTGATCATCATGTATGTTCATCTTTCTCCCTCCCCCCAATCAAAAGCTAATGCTAATTGTCTACAGTCTCTTCCTCTGCGTCGCCGCGTACCTCATTTTCGGCTCCTGGCTCAACTACAACCGCTACGGTGCCCGTGGCTGGGACCTCCTCCCGCACGGCGACACCCTCCGTGACATTCCGTACATTTTCCAGGACTGGCTCCGACGGGTCATCAATACGCTCCAAGGGAGCGGGTCGAGAGGCGGTTACAGCGCGGTTTGAGGGGTTGGATCTGTGGCATTTTTGTGGCAGTTGGCATTGGCATTGGCATTGGCAGTGGCATTGGCACATACATATGTCATGCTCTGACTCTATAATTTTGATATACGGCATGTGTGCGTTCATTTGATGACCTGAGAAATACTGGGTCAATGGGGATAGATAGCACTGTATGATGAATGAAGTCAAGTATTTCAGCCTGTACTAGTGGCATTATGTATGATTCTGGCATACTGTTTAGTGACAATAAGTCGGGTAAATGATTACGGAATAGTGCAGAATATCCTAACACAGCTATTGTTACGACTATGACCCTGACAAGGGTGGACCTTCAGTATGATAAACTCCCTACACTCAAAGACATCAGACACAAACAAAGATACGAATCAGAATCAGAATCAGAAACACGACTAGAAACACTCCGTGGAGTACGGAGTATGGAGAATCCCGAAATGGCGTCATCAGAGCTAAGATCTCATCATCGTCGTTGGCATCGTCAGGGGAACATGGATCATCGCAGGGCATGTCAAGTGTCAACCTTAAATACTGCTTAAATCCTCCTCGTTGCAATTTACCCACTTTTTCCTTCTCGGTTTCCGCAGCGGCGCAAGCCTACACTTTCATGGCGAATTGCTTCAGGTACAGGTAGTCCGGCATGTTGCGGTCGACAGCCTCGCGGATGCGAGCCGCGGCCTCGGGGCCGTACTTTTCGCGCCATTCGGCGTCGAATTTTTCTTCGGATTTAGGAGAATGCTATGGACGGTCAGTTTCTTCTTTTTACAGGAAATGGGGGAAAAGGGAGTGCTACTGGTTTCTTCGCCATCAGACCCTTCGACTCGATCGCATCGTTGTGGAAACCGCGCCATTTCTCGAACGCGTCCCGCGCAATCTTGTGGTCCGCGTCGGTGTCCCAGCACAGCATGGAAGGATCGTAATCGAGCCCGACACTGCGGCAGAACGCCTCGATCATGGCGGCGGGCTTCTCGAGCATCTCGTCTGCGTCGACGACACAGATCTCCGCGCCGGACTCATGGCCTGCGCCGAGCCCGGGGACAACAGGCTGCGGCTTCTGGTTGTCGGTGAGCTCGTTGGCGTCCTGTTCGCGCGTGGCGATGTGCGGGCCGATCAGGCCCTCGCGGCGCAGGTAGTCGAAGACGCGGCGGACCTCGTCGTATCCGGCTTCGAGGGGGTCGTAGGTGTAGAAGCCGGTGACGTCGTCCAGGGGTGGAATGGTGCAGCGGTAGTAGGAGGGGACACTGAAGTGCGGGTCGCGGATAAGGAAGGCGAAGTGGAAGCGCGACAGGAGCTCCTTGGGCATCACGGTGGGATTGCCTGGTTCGGGCTCCGTGTCGTACGGGTAGGGCTCGCCGGTCCGGGACTTGGAGTGACCGTTCTGGCCGGTCTGGTCCTGGCCGTTGCTGCCCTGGTCGACGTGGCCGTTGGCCACGCCGTTTTCTTCACCGGTGGTTTGTCCATTGGTGCCTACGCCGCGCTTGATCCTCTTGAGTGAGGGGGCAATGCTGGCGGGCTTGCCGTCGGGGGGCAGAAGATAGTGGATAATATCCTTGATGAAGACTCTCTTTCCCTGCATCAGGTAAGTATCGTTGCGAAGACTGACGCCTTGTGGTCGCGGTTTGTGCATGCGAATCATTAAACCCAAATTTCGCGGCCAACATCTTGACGGAGCGTTTTATAGGGAGATTGGAGAGAACCGAGGTGAGTGTAAGTTTTCTCCCGGACATGGCCATGGATCTCATCATGGCGGAATGACCGGGGAAATTACGAGTGGACGAGAATGAGGTAGAATATAGGAAATCAGAGGACAAAAGGAAAAACAAAGGGAAAAAAGACTAGGGTCGGACCTCGTTCTCGGCAGCTTCACGCTCGATTCTATCCAGCACCGTCTTGTAGGTCGATGCGCTGAACCCGCTGTCTAGACGGGCCTGTTCGTCATCGGCGAATCTGGAACTGAGCCTCTCGGGACCATAGTAAAAGGCATCGCCAAAGGGCTCATGGATACATTGTATAGAATCACGGCGAGTCATAAAGACCTACGATGAAAGGGTCAGTCACTTGTCCGTCCAGACTGTGCGCAATGCAAGGAGTAGCAAGGAGGGTAGTACTCACTCTTTCAAAAGCCGTGGAGCATGCTCGAGGATGGGTAGCAACAAAAATGGGTTTCTGCGACATTTCTGATGAGAACATATCAATGGAGTCGAAATGACAACCAAGGTAGCAGCTTGTAGGTATGAGCCGAGTATTACTTCAACCAGGGAGTTTCACCACCGGCGTAGTAGTCTACTGCTGTCCTTTTCTTTTCCAATCGTATACTGTATCGAGACAGCAGGGACAATCAAAAGAAGAAGAGAAGCGTCAACGATAATCCTATCCAACGATCAGATGGGTCCGGTCAGGATGGCGAAGAATGCTTCAGGCAGAGAAGAAGCGGGAGTGACCAGAGGAAGATGAGCAAGCTTTTATATGCAGAGAGATGGATATGACAGAATGAGGGGAAGAGTCGAGTTTCCTTTCTTTTTGAATCGGAAAAAGTAAATCCCTATTAGTTCAGTGGATAACCAAGTCAATTGCAAGAATAATAATAGTAATAGGAATGGGACAAGATGGAGATCGTCTGGACGGTTGAACCACGTTTAGCTACAGCCCGTCCGAGATAAGAAGGTCTGCCTTGAGGAACTGGAGATGCTGCTTCAATCTACGATTATTATTTGTTGGATGGAACCCACTTGGCTAAAGCTACTTCAGAGAGATATCTCACAGTGTCTGTCTATCTGTGATTGTATGATCGATTACTTGCATCAGGAAAATTAGATATCTGATCCTTCCAATGTATGTATGCACGTATGTAGGGGTTGATATCTATCTACCCCTCCACATAATAAAAATCAAACAGATTGAGATCTACACACTTCCCCTCCATGGCATGAATCGATTCTCACTCAACTTTCTTGAATCGTCTACCTTGATTCGCCGCCTCCTACGTATGTCAAAGGAACAATTCCGAAGTCTGACCAAGTAGTGGATTATGCAGTTCCTGAACCACGGCCACAACGAGGGGCTTCCTGCACAACAAATCAAGCAGAAAAAAGTGGGGGAAAACAAGTCCGCAGGCGTTTGAGAGGCGAGACGGTTTCTGTTCCTGCCAATTAGTGTGCCTTAGCTTCTTTGAGATACCAAGTACCTAGACACCAGCATGACTATTCGTTGGTCGGAAGCAGAAGAACATCCCTGTTTTGCCCTGAATTGCTGAGGAGAACAGTGTCGACCGAGAATATCTGGTCAGTATCTGGTCTGGATGGACGATGAACCAGAAAGAATCCCGCTTTGACGTCATGGTTGGGTACTCGTGAACTGAAACAAATCGATGGAGTACTCCGTATCGATTCCACATATTCCTAGAGAAACCCTCTTGATCCGGACAGATCTGAGATTCGAGTGATAGCTTAGAGAGGTAGAGAAGTACCTATTATCCTCAATGTAGAGGCAAACGTGGGGTGGATCATCCTCTAATGGGCTGACTGACTCGAGTCACTCGACACTGAACGCAGTTTCGGGCGTTTTCCATTATCCTTTCAGCTTCTATCTATCCCCTATTCAGCCAGATTTAAGTTGAATAGGAGCGGCAGAAACGGTCTGATCGCTCAGTAAGACCGCATTGATACCTTAATGTCCTGTTGAGTGTGTTGAAGGACGCGCTTGTGATTGGTACAGGACCAGGCAATAGGGCAGAAAGGCAACAAGGCATCCACAAATGCTTCTGGCTGTCGGCTCCACTATCAAGCAATGGGCACATTTGACAGCTCTATTCAGTAGATACCGACAGCTGCAATGGTAATCTTATCTAATTTGATTTAGTAACCTCGTCAGTCAATTATAATAATATCGAATAAGCAAACAAACTCTGGATTCACCTGCATGAGTAGTACGTAGCTACGGAGTACCTAGTTAGTTACAGTAAAAGTGTCGATTATGTCAGCTGTGTGGTATCACGTGATAATGATCGATTGTTCTGGAAGGCGGTGGAAGCCACTCGTGTCGTCATGGGGCAAGAGAGTCTTCTCGATACTGCGAAGAATGGGCTGATGATACCCAACTCCAGCTATATCTAGCTCCCTGGTCATCCGCGCAGGCTGTTTTCTTCTCTTCTTTTGTGCTAAAGATACCCTCACATCAACATTATCATTACCTGACACTCAATTCCGTTTCACAATGAACGGTGCTCAATTCACAGACAGAGCCAACAAGGCGTTATTGGACTCGAGCCATCTGGCCGAGCAATACGCCCATTCTCAGATCCTCCCGATTCACCTCGCTCTTGCTCTCCTCAATCCTCCACCAGATGACTCGAAAGATCAACAAACTGCCGCACATCCCTCTCACGACTCTTCCACCGCTCCTCTCTTCCGCCAGGTCGTCGAGCGCGCTCATGGCGACCCTCAGCTCCTCGAGCGTTCCCTCATGAAGCTGCTTGTCCGGTTACCGAGTCAAGATCCTCCTCCCGACACAGTGAGCGTCTCACCCGCCCTTGCCAAAGTCATTCGTTCTTCGACCGAGCTGTCTAAGACGCAAAAAGACAGCTACGTTGCCATTGACCACCTCATCCTCTCGGTCGTTCAAGATTCTCAGGTGCAGCGGGCACTGGCGGATGCGAACATCCCCAATGTCAAGCTGATCGACACAGCGGTACAACAGATCCGTGGTACACGGCGGGTAGATTCCAAGACCGCCGACGCTGAGGGCGAGAATGAGAACCTCAAGAAGTTCACCATTGACATGACTGCACTCGCCAGAGAGGGCAAGATCGACCCCGTTATTGGTCGTGAGGAGGAGATTCGTCGAGTCATCCGGATTCTCAGTCGACGGACCAAGAACAACCCAGTGCTGATCGGTGAGCCCGGTGTCGGTAAGACCACCATTGTCGAAGGTCTGGCTCGTCGTATAGTGAACGCCGATGTTCCGGCCAATCTGGCCCAGTGCAGGCTGCTTTCCCTGGATGTCGGCTCGTTGGTTGCCGGTAGCAAGTACCGGGGTGAGTTCGAAGAGAGAATGAAGGGCGTTCTCAAGGAGATTGAAGAATCCAAGGACACGATTGTTTTATTCGTCGACGAGATCCATCTTCTCATGGGTGCAGGCTCGAGCGGTGAGGGAGGTATGGATGCCGCCAATCTGCTGAAGCCCATGCTCGCTCGTGGTCAGTTGCATTGTATCGGTGCGACCACACTTGGCGAATACCGCAAGTACATCGAGAAAGACCAAGCGTTCGAACGACGATTCCAACAGGTCCTGGTCAAGGAACCTACCGTCTCTGAAACTATCTCCATCCTCCGTGGTCTCAAGGAAAAGTACGAAGTACACCATGGTGTTAACATTCTGGACGGTGCTATCGTTGCCGCAGCCGAGTTGGCTGCCAGATACCTCACTGCTCGCCGACTCCCCGACTCGGCCGTCGATCTCATCGATGAGGCGGCTGCCGCCGTCAGAGTGACCCGCGAGTCGGAGCCCGAGGCCCTGGACAACCTCGAGAGAAAACTCCGCCAGCTGCAGATTGAAATCCATGCCCTCGAGCGGGAAAAGGACGATGCGTCCAAGGCCCGGTTGGAAGCTGCCAAGCAAGAAGCCGCCAATGTGACGGAAGAGTTGCGGCCCTTGCGTGAGAAGTACGAAAGCGAGAAGCAGCGCAGCAAGGCGATCCAAGACGCCAAGATCAAGCTCGACTCACTCAAGGTAAAGAGAGACGAAGCGGAACGGTCCGGCGACACTCAGACGGCTGCCGACCTGGAGTACTTCGCCATTCCCGAAACTAAGGCCTTGATCGAGCGACTCGAGGCCGATCGCATCAAGGCAGACGAGGAACGTCGTGCTCGACACGGCGACCATGGCGAGGCCCTGCTGGCCGACGCGGTCGGACCCGATCAGATCAACGAGATTGTCGCCCGTTGGACTGGGATTCCTGTCACCAGACTCAAGACCACCGAGAAGGACAAGTTGTTGCACATGGAGAAGTACCTTGGCAAGATCGTTGTGGGCCAGAAGGAGGCCGTCACTTCGGTCTCCAATGCCATTCGGCTGCAGCGGTCCGGTCTCAGCAACCCCAACTCGCCTCCAAGCTTCCTCTTCTGCGGTCCCTCCGGTACCGGTAAGACTCTATTGACCAAGGCGCTTGCCGAGTTCCTCTTCGACGACCCCAAGGCCATGATCCGGTTCGACATGTCCGAGTACCAGGAGCGGCACTCGCTGAGCCGGATGATTGGTGCTCCTCCCGGCTACGTTGGACACGATGCTGGTGGTCAGCTGACCGAGAGTCTGCGCCGTCGGCCCTTCTCCATCCTTCTGTTCGACGAAGTCGAGAAGGCAGCCAAGGAGGTACTCACCGTTCTCCTGCAGCTCATGGACGACGGTCGGATCACCGACGGCCAGGGCAGAATCGTCGACGCCAAGAACTGCATTGTCGTCATGACCTCCAACCTGGGAGCGGAGTTCCTCTCGCGCCCGACCACCAAGGACGGCCGCATTGACCCTCAGACCCGCGAGCTAGTCATGGGCGCTCTCCGCGACTATTTCCTGCCCGAGTTCCTGAACCGTATCTCCAGCACCGTCATTTTCAACCGGCTCACCAGGAAGGAGATCCGCAAGATCGTCGACCTGCGCCTCAGCGAGGTTCAGCGCCGTCTCGAGCAGAACAACCGCAACGTCACCATCCAGTGCACCGAGGAAGTTAAAGATTATCTCGGCGAGGCAGGGTACTCACCAGCGTACGGTGCCCGTCCTCTGGCGCGGATCATCGAGCGCGAGGTCCTCAACAAACTCGCCGTTCTCATCCTGCGTGGAAGTATCCAGGACGGCGAGGTTGCCCGGGTGGTCATGCGCGAAGGACGCATCGACGTTCTGCCGAATCACGAGGTTGAAATGGAGGAAGACGAGGAAATGGTGGATGAGGATGACGCGCTGGCGGAGATTGAGGACGGAAGCGGTGACATGGATCTTTACGAGTAAAGCAAAAGCGTTTTCTTGGATTCACGATAAACGAGTGATGAGCTACGACATGTTTTTGTCATTTATTGGCGTTATAGGGTATATGGTTTTGTCCACATGCATGATAGTCTACAGACTTGTACATAATGATGATAACATGAGTCTACTCAATGTCTTCAAACTGTCTTACACCCCCGTAGTCTACTCAGTTCAGTAGCACATCATAATTAAGTAGCATTCTTCTCCCGAAACCACCTCGCAATCTCCCCCGTCTGGCAATACTCCACCTCATCCCCCCACCCCTTCACCCACGCCAACAACCGCTCCACCATCCCAATCACATGCGCCATGCCACTCGTATCCGGATGCATCAGCACAGGGAAGATCGGGTCCTCCTCATTCTCCCGAATCCACAGGAACCGATCCCGCCATAAGTTCTCGATCACCCGCACATCCGTGTACCCGTGCGAGTTGGGCGCGTGCGGCAGGAATTGCATGGGGGTCATGTCTTCCATGTACCAGTTGCAGGGGACGCAGACGAGGGGGCGCCGATCTCCGCTTGCGCTTGTGCCGGCACTTGGGATCGGGTGCATCCAGGTAGACGCCGGCTGGGAGAAGTCGATCGGTTGGAGGGCGGGACGGCGCGGGGCGAAGAAGGGGTGGCAGTCATGGTCTGTTAGGGATGCATCTGGTCATGGTCAGTATTGTATTGTAGCGAAGGGAAGCGAAGCGTAGCATTTCATGTCTGCTCATTGTAGTGAGGGGGCAGGGGCAGGGATGTGCGCACCGTATTCGAATCCGAATTCCTCAAGGAGATCGAGCGTCGACTCGCGGAGCTGGTAGAGCGGCGCGCGGTAACCCGCTGGTTTCTTGCCTGTGAGCCTAGTCGCGATGTCGATGCACTTCACCAGGACGTCGCGCTCCTGCTGCGGGGTCATCTGGTAGGCGCCTTCGTGGGCGTATCCGTGCAGCCCGATCTCGGCGCCTGAGGCGACGACCTGCGCGACTTCGTCCGGGAAACTCTCGGCTGAGTGGCCTGGGATGAACCAGGTGCAGCGGTCGGCGATGTTGAGTTTCGCGAGCATGCGGAGCAGCCGCGGGACGCCGACTTTGGCGGCGAAGAAGCCCGCGGAGTAGTCGGCGAGGATGTTGTCCGGGTGGTGCCCTGTTCCTAGCCAGCCGGAGACGGCGTCTAGGTCGATGGATACTGCGACGCGGATCTTGTTGCGTTTGGGTGGTGATAAGCTCTGCGGGATGGATTGTATCTGGGCCAGGCCTGTTGTTTTCGGGATTGAGGGATCGCTCTCCTTCCAGAGTAGGCGGCCTTCCATCCCTCCGTCGACGCTGAGGCATTGGCCCGTGATATGGCCTGCTGCGCGGTGCGACGCCAGAAATGCCATGGTACGTGCGACGTCTTCTGGCTTTGCGATCTTCTTGAGGGGAACGCTATGATTCCGTCAGGGATAGTCCTCCAGGCTGGGTTGAAGAACATACGTAGCTTGGGCTTCGGCCCACAGTTCCTTTGGATCATCCAGTCTCCCTTCGATCATGGGCGTGCCCACCCATCCCGGCGCAACGGCGTTGATTCTCGCCCTGCTATTCAGCCGGACGATCTCGTTCTTGACACTCTTCACCAATCCATACTGGAGACCAGCTTTGCCGGACGCGTACTCCGCATGGCCCTCCTGCCCGAACACCCCCGTCTCGCTTCCCGTCACGACAACGGCCAGATTCTCCAGCTCCCTGCCCAGAGCCTGCTGTGCGGTCCGCGCAGCGCGCAGGAAGTGCTTGATGGTGAGAAACGTGCCGCGGACGTTGACGCTATACGTCTTCTCCCATGTTTCCAGCGGGAGCTCCCAGATGGGATAGTCGTGGCTTTCATCGGTGATGCCGGCGTTGGCAATGAGGATGTTGATGGGTCCGAATCGCTTGACGGCGAGTGCGATGCCCGATCTGATGGACTCTTCGTCGGAGATGTCGCCGCGCTGGATGTTGAGTCGGGCGTAACTCTCGCCAATAGTGTCTGGGACCTCGAACGGGCGAAGGTCATATGCTGTTACCTTGCATCCTTGGTCTGCATTCAGACACGGTTAGCAGACTTCAATGTAGTCGCATATAATGACATTCACGCAGTTCATCGACCAGTTCTGGCCAATGCGCATCACAGACGATCGCAGTCTAACTGGCGAAAGTTGCGACACAGCGTACACTCAGCTTTGCCGATCTAGCCTACGTAGCAGGTCCGGGGTTTCGAAAGGCAATACATGCGATCTACACCTACCTAGGAATTCCTGAACGGCTCGTTGTCCAATGCCCCCAGCAGCACCGGTGATGAAAACATGGAGGCTCTCCAAGCCTAAGAACGAGGGAGAAAGTTCCCCCGACATGTTGCAAGTTGCAAGTTGCAATGCTAAGAACTTTAGAGCCAAAGTTTGCTAGAACCACACGGGGTATGACGAATAAATCAAGGCAAAGTTGGCTGGTAATCAATAGTGGCCGATCTCTTGCTTATCACTTGGCTGTGCAAGTGCAGCGCACGCTCCTTGACAAACTATGCCTCTGAAATTAGGAAACATAAACGATCGTTAGTGTCTACATATCGGTGGGGAGAAGTACTCGGCAGCACTTACCGCGAAGAAAGCTGCTGAGAAACATAGCCATCGCCAAGTGCATTTCTTGTCTATCGAGTATTGACACGATGATCTTCCATCATCACGCAAACACGCGGGGCACTGCTCAAGTCACGTGTATTCTGCTATTGTCCAGAGGTTCAAAATATCCATCTTCCTTTACTCTGTAGATTACTCTGCTGGATACAAGCGTAGCCTAGAACTGCGCTCACTCGGGACTCCTCGTTCGGCATCCCCGACTGGAGACTTGGAATATTACTCGCAAACGAGTAATCGTCAATTGCAGCCGCGTATTTGTCAGTACCTGCAGTTCGCAACTTAGGTAGCAAGGGCTACCCAATGTCTTCTACGAGATATACCCACTTCGGTGTAACCGGCGAACAGGCACAGTGACCGTGTCCTTGCACTTGCATCTTAGTGATCCAGTCTGCTGAAGCCTACATGAACATGAACTATGTATTCGCCAAGCAGTACTCCGTACGACCTCAATGTTCGCAGTCCAGAAACTACTACTACTATCTCGCATTGATACATCCGATTGAGAGTCTGGGCAGTCATGCTATTCTCGGAGATGGACAAATAAAGTATATATCCGGCTTTAGCACCGGACAACAGGCGAACCTATATCCACCATGACGTCCATGGACAGGATAGGATGTCTGTACATTTAGTCTAGTTAGAGTACGGAGTAGCAAGGATTATAGTCCTTGCGCGAAGGATCAACTCACGACTCGCGACAGACTATGCGAACACCACGTGGAGCGCACGCCACACATTATTAGCGCGTGGACTGGCTTACACCCATGACTCTCGAGGCGACAAACCCGACAACCTCCTTGTACAGAACTTCAATGCCGATTGTCCGTCCAGGATGATACTTTTTGTTGACACCTGCCTGAAAAGAATCAAACCGTCCATATCAGGAAAATGAACAGATTGACCATGACCAGCAACATAAAACGGACCGCGGTTCAGTAGGTGGGAGCGCACCCCACGGTCCTCAGCTTGATCGGTGTCCTTCCACAGTTTTAGTTTGTTCTCCACCGGAGCCTATCCTCTCAAGGAATTTCGTTCCAAACTTGCACCCAAGTTGCAAGACAACTCCATTCTTAACACCCACTGCCGGTAGAGCTCAGCTCATCGGCGTGTAACTGATCCAGTTCTAGACTTGGATAGTTGTTTCACACTCAATTCCAAAACAAATAGTAATGTAAGTTGTTGTACGTAAATACGTAGGCAGGGTAGCATTTCATTCATTCCAACTCCCGGTGGAGCGACATGATCCGATCCCGATGGATGCTCCATCTTGCTTCTACTTTTGGCAGGACCTCACTACAGGTCGTAGTAGTGAGTATTCGCTAAATCTTTGACCAGGGGCCGAAAGGAGACGCTTACTTGATATGACTTAGTAACTTGCTGTCGTCTCGGATGACGCCTGCCGTTTGAGTCTAGTGTCATCAGGTACGTGGCCAAGTACTCAGGTACCTACTCCGATGGCTGCTGGCTCTCTCGGCGAGGAGTACGGATATTGGACCAGGAATAGGTAGTGCGTGACGATAGCTATGCTGCTCGTGTACTAAGATTCGGCTTGATATCATGCAATCAGTACTCTGTAGATTTGGAACACCGTTTAACGACTCCGGAGAGCCAAGTCCTTGGCCTATGCAGCTTGATGTAAAAGATCGAGAAGATTGCCTGATTGAGAAAGGCGGCGGTTGAGAGTCCGCCTGGGCTCGTGCTAGAGGTTAGACTGGCTTCATCGAATTGATCAGAATTGATTGCGTTTCAGTTGTGAGTAGCACTAGGACAGCGGCAGGCACAGAAATGCAAATTACATATTCCTTGTTTCGAATACAACGATACCGCACTGCCCCACGATACCTGACGCAGTTCCCGGGAGATCTGCAAGTGGGAGTGGGCAACGGGGCAATACATACCAGCTGAAAAGTTCGAACATTTCTCATACTGCTTTTCGCAAATGGCATTGGCTGACCGGATTCGCGAATATTCTGGTTTGTGCGCGATCCTCATATACGCCCTCACGATCAATTCCGTATGTCCAGGGTTTGTGCAGGTAATCTCTGAAGATCAATCAATAATTGATTTCTCACCCCATGGTTTGGTTCGGGATTCCTGGTCTGCGGCCTTTTGTCACCTCCCTCCACATCCCGACCAGGCCGAGCCTGGTACCCCAAGAGTAAATATACACACTATATCAAAAAAGTCTTTGGGGGTAGTGGACATCAGTAGATCATAAAATGAAGAAGAAGAAAAATAAATAGGTCACAAAGGAGAAGAAAAGTATATACAGTTGTCTAAGTCTATGCGAAAAAAAAGAACAAAAAAGTCGATCGTGCTTCATCAGGGCTGGGGTTGGGGACGACCATTGGTGATCTGCGCATGGTGGGTGTCCCAATATTCTGGTGGGCGGGTCTCGCGCTCAACCGTCACCGTCACGTCTTGTCGGATTCTGAGAGCACGATCTGACCCATCATCGCTCAGGTCCCGCTCGTCGCTTTGGTTGACGCTGACATCGGAAACCGCTTTCTGATGCATAGCCGTGCTTGTGTTTGAGTAGTCTTGCATGTTGTAATCCCCAGACCGTAACTGACTGGCGGGTCCGTAAGCCCGAAGCCCGGATCCCTTGCTGGTCCAAGGTCCTGACCGATACCGGTCTGTGCCTCTCTTGGATCCGCCTGTCCAGCTCTTGAGAGCGGGAAACACATCGCGCAGCAGAGACCAAACAAGAGGAAGATTGGTGACGAGAACGGCGACGGTTGCTTCGCGGAAATACCAGTTCATGTAGACGTAGGAGATCAATGAGGGAACCAGGCAGTAGATTTTGTTCAGGATGGCCGCAACAATGACAAAAATTCCCATGCCGAAAAGGACGAGAAGGATTACTTTCTGCTTGAGAGGAACGCGAACTTGCACCAGGAGCGGAATGGCGACAGCAAGCATGAAGATATCGGCGGAAATGGAGACGGCGCCCTGGATGATCTCATAGTACTGGTACGACGAGCATTGGTCTGTACTGAGTTAGCATAAGGTTTCCTTCGCGACAGCGGTCATATGGACGAGAACTGACAGTCAGGCGTGGGTACAGCCCAGTAGTTGGACAGAGGCCTGCAGATGAGAAACAATGACAGTTCAACCGCCACGAAGCCTAGGGCGACGTAGACTGAAAGGTAGGTGACCCATTTACGTGCGTTCAGGCCGTCGCTTTGTAAGAACCATATTAGCCGTACCTTCGAGGAAAGGTGCCAGAAGAGAAGACCTACGTGATACGGAAATAAATCACCAGCATGCAAGCCTTCATCGCCCAGATGGCCAGAACAAACGAGTGTTCCGACACAAAAACCCATTTGCTTCCCTTCACCCGCTCAGCATAGGTAGCTGGCGTCAAATTCGCTATATCTTCATCGGTCATCAAATTCGAACCCCCTCCCGAGGCAACTTGATTCAGGGCAACACATAATAGCGTGTACCATAAGACGGCGAAGAGCATGAGATAGTCGTCGACTTGAAGGTTGCGGATACCCAGTCGACGTATACGTGCGACACTATCAAGACAAGGAAGTTAGTGTCAAGCTGACAAAACGGCGCATCGCATTTTCAAGGCATGGTACTAACAATCGCAGAACAGTTCCCAATATCCCTACACCATAGAGCACCCATGTTTCCGTTGCAAAGCTCTTTGAAAAGTCCGGGCCTAAGCCTGACATGGTGTCGGACTTCAACCTGATAAACCGGAAAGAAAAACAGAGGTTAGCTAAACAAGCAATCAAAAGGCACCCATGTTAGGGACCATAGTGAGATAAATAAGACAAGCAGGGTACCGACATCGTGGACAGATAAACTTTGGGTAAATCAGCTCATCGGCTAGCGAAGACATACAACACCAGAACGCCTGCCAGATTGGGCTTAAAGTCTGATTGCGCTGATAGAGGGGTTTGTTAGTTGGCGATAATCAATCATGAACTGAAGAAAGTAGTGAGCAGGGATGGTTGATTGGACGTACATCACTGCGTGCATGAGTAGCTGTCCCGGAGGACTGGCAATGTTAGTCTCGTGGGCGAACCCCGGGCCAGAGAGGACAAAAACAACTCAATTAATGAGCAGATAATAATGACCCATGGCTCAAAAGATGTTCATACTGGCCAGTGGGGATACCAAGAAATGTGGACCTGCTAGGTATATTGAGACTACTGTGGAAGCATGGCACAATCGGATAAGTGAACGAGGACGACATGAGATTGGCCGGGACCCGACAATGATCCTTTCCAATCAGGATTTCGAAAGCATGATTCAGAGAAAGGACCTGGAGCAAGATAATTGTCTTGTCAGCATGCCTGATGGATTTAGTGTTTGCAAATTTGGCCCTGGGAGCGCCACTGTCAAATTGATTGGTTGAGAATTTAATCAATCAATAATTTTCAGTTCATCGAGCCCGGGCTGAAAAGGAAATTTTCGGTTGTTATGTTTGTAAGGTACGTATATTGTAATTTGAAGTGAAAACCCTCAAGGTACATAACTTCAACCAGGTGACGACCTGCGCCGTCAGTGGAGAGTTAGCTTGATCGAAAACCTAGTGCTAACTCTAAATTGAGTTAGTGCTGACGGTCTTTTTCTTTTCTGATTAACACAAGCAGCACAGCTCTCATCCATGACCCCATCGTCCCACTACCTCTCCGGTCAAGTCCCCTCCCTTCTCGAATTTGGACTCTGGCCGATTCTGTGGTCCGCCCCAGGTACTGCTCCATAGATTTGCATCCGGATTCGCCATCTTAGGTCGATCCTTCCCCTCAAGGGAGACTGTGCTTGCATCTGAGCGTGGTCGATCGTTTGCCTCAGATCTGTTGTTGAAAGGACTAGGTACATAAGCAATTAGATACTACTGCATAAGTGTCATAGTCTGCAATTAAGTTCTGCAGACTCTGCAGAGTGCAGACTAACTAGTAGCTACATACACTTGGCCAGTTTAGTTTCTCCGACCGAAGCGATGTTGCCAGGATTCTTAGTTCAGAATCCTTGCATGGCGAAGTAAAAATTTTTCTGATCCCTGTCTTTTGTGGGTCAGGGGAAACTTCGTCGAAGCCGGTACTTCGCCTGCAATTTGCAAGCAATCTACGGAGTATTAGTGTGCAATAATAGATTGCACCACTACTGTTCATTAATCTAGGCTTGCAACATGGCCGTGGATGGCTGTCCTGCAGCATTGCATGATATTCCACAGTCCCAGCAACGTGGAGTCAACTCTCAGGTCTAAACTGACTGCGGAATCCGACCGCCCTTGCCGAGGAAAAGTGAGCATTACTGCGCCCAGAAAAGTTTATGTTTCCCAGTACACGATCATATATGCTAATATGCTAGCCACCTGGTGCTAGCTCTCTTGACTCAGGCCTCAGCTGTTCCTGATCCAATTTTTCTCCAGTCTAGACTCGAGTATGTGGGCATAGGACGGGCCTCATTATTATTGGTCGACAGCTGGTTTTGCCTTGGTCTCACTAAGTCGAACACTCTACGGGGCTTCTCGGTCTCTGCGGTGATGGAAGGACTTGACGGCGTCTGAAGTAGATAGCCTATCTACTCCTCTCTAGCCTCTTAGCCTCCACCAGAACGGCCGGAGTTCTTCGGATGACGCGGCGCATGCTCATTCATGCTTACCACCTGGCATTGAAAGCCGAGACTCATTAGCCATGGTAGTTTGACAGGCGATGGTGAGTCGGTTGTCAAGTCGCTAGTAACCCGGCAGAGGTGATTTATGTCCTGCACACCATCATTTCATGATGCGCAATCACAGGATGATCCGGCATGATTTCCGACTTGAGAGGGCCCATAATGGCCCGATCGTTCGATATCGGTCGATGCTTAGCTTCCGGTGATATCGAGTAATTATCCGGCGTCTGGACGTTGTGGAATAAGATGAAATGACGGGCTTTCATCATTTCACATGAAACCCCAGGGCGCTATGGCTCAACGACCGAGTCCCATCGTGCTGTCGCCAAGTGGCCCCTATTCTTAAAAGCTATTCAGAGAAATAAATCACGCACACGAAGGAGTGAAGTGGACTCAGTATCAAGAATGCTACATACATGTTTCTGATTCACGCACCGTTGATTCAATAGCGCTATGACTAGGGGCTTAGTGAGAGGCCGGATCCAGCAACCGACAGTTTCTTGGTTCTCTCAAATGGTATTAGGCTTTGGTAAGGTCGTATCCACGTAGTAGTAGCGATGCCGGCGTACCTGACGATCTATTTACCGTTGTTCTCATTCGGCGTCAAGAAGGAAGAATAGATGTCCCACCAGTACTCGCGTGTTGCTTGACTTGGCCCCTCTACAAGGCATCAATAGCGCCGGAGGTCGTATACCGGAATAGAACAAGAACAAGATTCTAACCTGCCATCCTACTCATCAGATGATAATGGTCAGGATAACCGACGATGTTGCCAGCTCCACGTTCTCGACAGTTGCACGATAGGCTGCAGCCTATCTGTCCTACTGAGACAGCTCCATCAGGAATATTAATAGAGGTCCATTGCAAGCTTGAACTAGCTGCCAGCTATATTGATATTGTTCCAGATTGACTAATAGCATCGCAGTTTAGAGGCTGCTGCATCTCGGTTGTATGATGTCCGAAGGATGCTTGGAAGTTGGCATAATGCCACTGTTGATAGTCTAGAAGTCAGCGGCGCATCCATCTGTACCTCTAAGCGAGTCAAGAGAGTTCACAGTGGACGCTACTATTGCTCAGCCCTATCATTCTCGAGTCTCCAACAGGTTTCGATATCAAAGGCTAGTGTACGAAGTAGTAAGACTAAATCGGCCATTATCAGAGTCAGCACCATACTACTGTAGGTGTAGGCGAGCACTCTAGGGATATTTATGAGTAGTATATTGTTGTCATAGTTTCGCACTACTCCGTACCGATAACAATACAAAGTATTGTTCTGATAATTCGATTACACAGTGTCCAGACCTGTTGCGGAAATCCATCTTATTGGCTGTCTGGAATTAGGTTCCACGCAGTATACTTCCCTGTGGCAAGGGCGAGCCACGGGCAGACCGTTTGCCGGACCAGCTCGCCCTCTCGAGCTACCGAGTGCCTCTCAGAAATCGGTCGTCTGACGCCAGCATTCATAACAAGTTAGGAACACAGCAAACTCTGTGAACAGCTAAATTGGCGTCGAGAATCGGAATCATCCCATTGACTTCAGAGACAAACTTAAAGCGAAAGGAGAGTAGTCTGTGAGATGATTAATCGACTACTGCCCTGATCAAGGAATTATAGCACGTGAGAAGCCAAGGGCCCAAGTGGACTTTTCCTTTAAACTACTGCATGCCTCAGGTTATGGGTGGCCATTTGAATACTTTTACATACTACCTACGTACCTAAGTCTGCAGGTTTGTATGCAGATTACATGCAGTCCACTTTTCAATCGAATCGGTCCCTGCGTGTACTCATCACGACATTCCCCCAGATCACAAAGGAGATATCAAAAGTGTGGAGATAGAGATGTCCAGCTGTCCCATGGGGCTCGGTTCCTCCAAGTTGGGCCAGTCTTTGACTACGATCTCCCATCTCAGAGGCCAACTTCGCCGAAGATATCTGGATAGAGTCTGCCATCTGCTGAAGCTCCCTCTTTAGGAAAAGGCATCTCGGCGTACCCCTGTACATTTCATACAAGCCTGTTGCAACCGCGATTATCATCAACCAATCACCTATGTTTTATCTGTCCCGCTTTTGATCGTCTAGCCTCTATGAGGAGGTTTTAGTGAATTTTGATTCGCCCATCAATGCTTATCCCTGCTACACTAGATCTGACCCCACGCTTAGCTGTAAATACAATACCAATACAACTGATGGGTGGTGGACAAGGGTGTTCAACCCGGTGTCCTCCAGGTATCCCTCAGGATATCGAACTGCTATAAACTGCTGCCGGCCGGATCGACGTTCAAAGCTGATGTTGGATTTTTCTCCTTCATCCTCCATCTGGACGCCTTTGGAGGTGATATATGCCAGCATCAGTCGGTATCCTCTCATAGTCGCCATCACTCTTCCTGATCTGCTGTAATAAGAGCGCACCTCCACATACCCGTACACGTGCAGGACACAGCCAGTGGTATTCTACCTCGCCATCCATCGACTTGGTCGTCCAAAGCTTATCTTAATAATTCGCCTGTGCCTCGATCATAATAACACTCGTCTTCATCCGGTCGCTCTCCGATCGGTTTAATTTCGACCGTTTTGTTTGATGGCATCGCCCGAAATGGCAGCAGTGGAAAACCCGGAGAAGATGGCTGCAGTTGAGGCCAGCGCAGAGGAACGCCCTTCAACCGAATTGGTCAATGCATCCGGTCATCGTCAAGAGCTCGAACGAAACTTCAGCTTGCTCAGTATTTGTGCCGTCGCTGTCACTACAGGAAACACATGGATCGCTCAAGGTGGCAGTTTAGTATGTTCATCCTTGGCAACCAATACTACCTAAGAGTTGAGCTGATGTGTGTTTCAAGGTCACTGCTATGTATAATGGAGGACCAGCCGGAGTTATCTACGAATTGTAAGATCGCTCTCGATCAGTCAAACATCAGTCGATACTAACCAGAGATTAGTATTGCTGTTTCCGTCTGTTATTGGATGGTCGCAGCATCTATTGCAGAGCTGGCGTCAGCGATGCCTTCTGCCAGTGGTGGTATGTCGCGACTCTGCTCTGTCCTTTGTTAGGAGCCTCGCTAACCCGGGTAATCAGTCTACCACTGGGCCTCGATCACTGCTGGAAAGTATGGCCGTGTTTGCGGATTCTTTGCTGGATTCTGGAATTGTCTTGCATGGATCCTAGGAGCTGCCTCCATGTCCGCCATCTTGGGCCAACAGACCGTCTCCATGTACGCGCTCATGCATCCTGACTTCGTCCCTCACGCATGGCACACCTTCATCAGCTTCATCATCTGCACCTGGATGTGCTGCTGCATTGTGCTCTTCATGAACCGCTTCCTCCCTCACATCGGTAATCTTGGCATGTTCTTCATTCTTGCCGGTGTGTTCATCACTATCATCGTCTGTGCCGTGATGCCTCATGTCAACGGCCAAGCATATCTCGACGATAAGACAGTGTGGCGCACGTGGAATAACCAGACCGGCTGGTCGAGCAACGGCTTTGTCTTCGTTGCAGGAATGCTGAATGGTGCTTACAGTGTTGGCACTCCTGACTGCTCTAGCCACCTTGCAGAGGAAATCCCACGGTAAGTCGATTTCAGTGAGAGCGAGTGGCTAGTCGCTAACCCGGTGCTATAGACCCAGTCGCAACATCCCTAAGGCCGTCCTTGCTCAGATGTCTGTCGGCTTCGTCACCGGTCTTCTCTATATGATCGCCGTCTTCTATTCCATCAATGACCTCGACCTGGTCATGAGCAATCCCTACGGTTTCCCTCTCGCCGAGATCTACCGCCAGGCCACCGGTACTCGAAGTGGCTCCCTTGGACTGCTGATCGTTGCCTTCCTGCCCACTGTCATCACATGTGCTGGTTGCTACATCACCGCCGGCCGTACCTTGTGGACCATTTCTCGTGATAGAGCGACCCCCTTCTCCGGCTGGCTGGGACGTATCAATACCCGGATGCACAACCCTTTCAACGCAACCCTGGTCTGTGGTGTGATTATTACCATCCTTGCTTGCATTTACGTCGGATCCACCACCGCTTTCAATGCCTTCGTCGGCTGTTTCGTGCAGCTGTCCTCTCTTTCCTACCTCGCCGCCATCCTCCCTCATGTCCTCACCCGCCGCTCCACCTTCCAACCTGGCTACTTCTGGATGGGACGCATCGGCTACGTCATCAATACCTTTAGCTCCATCTACATCATTGCCTTTATTGTGATTTTCTGCTTCCCTTACTCCATGCCCACCAGCGCTGCTACGATGAACTACGCCAGTTTGATGACCGGTGGACTGACCATTTTCGTGGCCATCTGGTGGTTCGTCCGTCAGGGCTCCTACGAAGGACCCAAGAACATCCCTCTGACCGACAAGGCCATCCTGGACGACGCGAAGTAAATGTGCGGTCCAAAAAGGTCAATGCTGGCATCGGGTATTCTGACATTGTTTCATGAACTCACAACGCGATGGATCTGCCTTTCTCTCTGCAGTGTATCGGCGATGGTATGAGTGAATATTCGGGTGCTGCTCATGATCTTTATGTATTTTAAATTCCCATTCAAAGAAGTTGGCGCAATTACTAGAATCACAATAATACCCCTACATTAATTGGAATCTTCAACTCCCTTTTTCACCCTTCGATAGCCTGTACCTGCGAACCAGCGCTTGGGGAGTGACCTCTGGTCGTATACAGGTCGGTCAGCCCTATGCAGTAATGTCTGATGGCTGCAGGTGCATATTGGTTTGCACGCGCTTTCCGTATCCCGTTCAAGCAAGGATACGATTCGAGGGGATGAGCTTACTTGTGTGTTCAGTTCATGTACTCGTTTCGCATCTGCCAGTAGTTGGCCTTCTCACAGACTGGGCTCCGTCATCGATCAGTGTGTTCCATGCGAGCATCACTTCCTTGCTGATCATCTAATGTCGAGGATATATGATTGATGCGACATACTCCAGTCTGTAGGACCATGACATGTGTCAGTGATAAATGAAGATGAGTGACACATGTGGTTTCCAGGTATCGTTAATCCTGTTAAGGCCGCCGTCGAGCCCGGCACTGGTCACTTATATCTTTTTATTTCTCTGAGATTTTGATCCGAATTCTGTTTTTGCTTTTGTAGAGAGAAATACCACTTGCATCACTGAGAGGAAATCAGGATGAGACGTATCCGTCAAGACGTGGGATCAACTAGTCAAGGTTAGAGTTGGGTATCGTTACCCTTTTAGTTGAAGATGACTACAATCTGTTATAAGACATTAAGATTGACGTCAATTCATCCAGAGTAGTATGCTTGTAGACTGCTGTCTTCCTTGAAAATTCGAAATGTTGCCCTGATTGATGACTGAGGGGGCTTGGCGCTGGTCTCCGCACGTGCAGCACGCCTCGACGCGTCGCTGGAGATTCGCGACTGATTGCACCCTTGTGCCTGCGAGAACAGCCTCGATAACATAACAACCAACAACAGGAACGATGGAGCCGATATAACGCGATTGAGTCTGGGCTCTTCCTAATTATACTCTGTTTGATTTTTCTTGTAAAGAGCAGGGCCTCTCGAAGGCCTGAAATTTATTCTTTTTTCTTGATTGTCGCCGGTTCCTTGGTCCGGGTTTGTCGTGCTCCCTTGAATTGCGCTGCAATGTATCTGCCTCGCCAACTCATATCGCACCTCTACCTACAACTTCTTCGATCCCATCATCCGCTCTCTCCTCCCGTGCTGGTCCTCGTAGCACTCGAACCCGATGCCCTCTGCGCTTGTCGAATCCTGACCGCCCTCTTGAAGCGCGACTATATCCCCCACAAGATCCAACCGGTAGCCGGATATGGCGATCTCGCACGCGCCGGCGAGGAGCTGGTCAAGCCTATGCAGACGCACAATGGGGGTAGTGGAGGCGTGGTCGTATGTCTAGGCGTGGGAGGCTTGGTGGATCTCAACGAGATACTCTGTCTGAGCAGCCCGGACGAGGAGGTGGAGGATATGGGAGGGGTGGAGGTATGGGTCTTCGACTCGAGGCGACCGTGGAATCTGAGCAATGTCTTTGGCGGGGAGGCAGCGGCGGCTTCGGCGGATGGAGGTGATGCCGCTTCGCGGCGGAACACGCGCGGTGTCGACAAGGGATGCATCACTCCGTCGTACAAATCGGGCGCGGGTGGTATTGTCGTCTACGATGACGGGGATATCGAGGAGGAGATGAGCGCGGAGAGGGAAGCATACTGCGCGCTGTTGGAGATGCCGGAGGTAGACGAAGATGAGGAGGATATTGACAGATCTGGCAGCGAGGATGACGAAGAGCATCCGTCCAGCTCGGGGTCCAAGAAGAGGAAATCGTGGTCGGGACGCGAAGACGAGGATGACTCTGACGAGAACGACGGCCCCCCGCGTCAGCGGCGGAGGAGTAATTCAGTATGTTTGCGGTCTTGCCCTCGTGTTTGCTTTTTGCTGTGATCTCTAACGTCCACGGGTAGGGGTCCTCCATTGCTTCATCTCCGAGTCGTCGGCCGAGGGACGAGCATAACTCCTCAAACTCTTCTCGCTCCGTGACACCGGGTTCAGATTCGCCGTCACCCGCGCTGCCGAGGCAGCCGTCTGCACGATCAATGAGGCGACGGCTGATTCGGCTCAAGAGGAAACATGAGAAAGTGTTACAGAAGTATTATTCCACCGGCACATCGTATTCCGAACCGATATCATCGCTTGTGTATTCTCTCGCATCCGAACTTGGTCGGGAAGATAACGACCTTCTGTGGTTGGCCATTGTCGGCGTCTCTAGCTTGGAACTCAGTGGTCGTACAATGTCTGGTGTTGGCATCTCCAATCCATCAGAGTCCGGAGGGTCTGCTGGCTGGGGTGGTGAACGGGGAGAGCGCGTTCGTCAAATATTACGAGACGAAGTCCATCGATTGAACCCGCCCGACCCATACGAGCGAGACAGAGATATTAGAGGGGAGATCAATGGCGTGATCCCCACAACTGCCAAATCGCCAACAGACAAGTCTATTCGATTATCTCCAGAACCCCGTTTCATTCTGGTCCGCCACTGGTCACTCTACGAAAGTATGCTACATAGTCCCTATCTGGCATCACGACTGCACGTTTGGACCGAAAATGGTCGGAAGCGATTGCACAAGCTCCTTGCGAAGATGGGAATCAGCTTGAGCCAGTGTCACCAGAACTACACTCACATGGATATGGAACTGAAGCGAGTGCTACGGCAACGCCTTCTCAAGTATGCACCTATGTACGGCCTGGAAGGACTCGTACCGCCCGACGCATCTGGTCATGTCTCCTCCCGCGAGGGGTGGGGCTTCGTGCGCTGCTGGGGCTGGAAAGCCTGTCTTTCCGCAACGGACGTGGGCGTCATTATAGGCGCGATCCTCGAGGTTGGGCCAGAGGAAGCCCCCGGCGCCACCTGGGACACAAAGCGCCTGTCGCGCCCCAAAAGCGCAAATGAGGGGAACGGCGCTGATGACTCCACCGAGTCTGATTTGTCTAGCCTTCTGCCGCGATTTTGGAGCGCATACGATGCTTTGTCGCTCACCTCAGAATCGCCCACCCTCCTCCTGAAAGCACTCCCGCTTGCTCAGCATCTTCACCGGGCCATTCTGCGTACCGGGACATCTCTACTATCGAAGCACCAAATTCGGCACCTGCGAGCATTTCGCATTGCTGTCGTTAAGGATGGCCCCGATGTCAAGCTTTTTACAAATCCTGGAGCTCTGACGAAATTGGCTCTCTGGATAGCTGAGGCGATCAGAGTCCAAGAGCGTGAGCGAGGCGACAGCGTAAAGATCGGAAAGAGGCGAGCGGCAGGGACTCCCTTGGTGCTGGCCGGCCTTGACGAAGACCGAGGCCTGTATGTCGTTGTCGGCACAGGTGGCGGCGGAGGTGTGATCGATTACGCGGCGATGCACAAGCGTCAAGAAGAACGCCGTAAGAAAAAAGAAGCTAAGGAGAAGAAGCAAAAAGAGCGCGAGGAACGTCGAGCTCAGCGCGCAGCCGAGCGTGCTCAACGCGGAAACGATGACAACGATGAAGCCGATGAGACAGAGGAGGAATCGGAGTCATCATCGGAATCCGAGTCGGAGTCTGAGGACGAGCTTGACATGCGCGGCAACAAGCACCTTCTGCGGAACCGATTCGGTATCGCCTTCCAGGAGGTAGTGCAGGAGACCAACACTCGAGTGCGCATCGACAGTTTCGAGCATTGTGTCGTAGAAGTCCAAAAGGAGGATCTGGGTGGCTTCCTCGAAGCTCTCAGCTTCCGCAGCGTCGTCGGTTAAAGTCCGAGTCTCGCTCCGTCCGCCTTGCTCAAATGAACTTGGCTGTTGTTCCCGTTGCTCGATATTTCCTCAAAGCTAATCCTGAATTCCTAACGATAAATTTGCGATGCGTTCTCTCTTTCCTTGCTGGTTGGCTCGCTGCTTGGGGTGAGGTTTCGGTGGTTTGGGTGAAATCGGTGTTCATTTCAATGGGATAAAAGAAGGAATATGTGTTCATGACCTGTTGGAAATCTGTTTGTTTGTTTTCCTTCTTTTGTGCTTTCCTCACTCGATTACAAGCATTTTTGCCATTCGCCTTGTCGATCACTACTCTCTTGACCATGGCCATCTTGCATATCCTCTGCACATGTCACGGCGTTGGCGGTGTTACAGACCGGGCTTGGATTCCGTTTACCCTTCCATTTTCTCATGATTGATTTATAGCTGTCAAGAGCAATGTCACCATCGGCGATCTTGTCTGTTGAATAGCATGTGCGACATGTCCTGCATTCATTAATAGAGCCATTTTTACTTTGTTGAAGGTGGTGATACAGCGACACCCTAAGGGGAAACTTAGATGGATGGACAAGTCTGACACTGTAATACGAACTAAGTTAACGGGGCTTATCTACAGAGGGTCCGGCCTCCCAAAGGCTTCTAAGCAAGTGCTAGGATTTCTGCTTTGTGCATGAAATATTTTTGTTTTGGGGGCTTCGGCGATTGCTCCGACCCAAGAAACGGAGTTTCCCCGCATATAAAATGCCCCCGCGATAGAGTCAATTGCCCGGGGTGTCTCCGTATGGGACTGAGTATTTGAGACAGCCGAGACGCTCAATTCCTTCATTCATATATAATGATCTTTTTTTATATGCTACGACCAAATAAACCGCCATGTCTTTCCCAAAAGAATATCCCGCGCTGCCTCGCGAAAGTACCTTGTCACAGCTTCCGCCGGAATACCCCGCAGACGCCCAGGAACAGATCGTACAGCTCCTCTCGACATCTTCGCTGAATCGCTTGGTCGTGCTGGACGATGACCCTACAGGCACCCAGACCTGCCACGATATCCCTGTACTCACCGTCTGGGACGTCCCGACGCTGATTAAGGAATTCCAGCAAGATTCCCCGGGGTTCTTTATTCTCACCAACTCGCGCGCTCTTCCCCCACTTGAAGCGGAGAAGCTCATCCGCAGCATATGTGAAAACGTGTTGGAAGCAGCCAGGTCCACGTCTCAGACCGTCGACATCGTCCTCCGAGGCGATAGTACATTGCGTGGCCACTTCCCACTAGAAGCAGACGTCGCGCAGTCCGTGTTCGGCCCTGCAGATGCATGGGTGCTGGCCCCCTTCTTCTTCCAGGGCGGACGGTACACCATCAACGATGTACACTATGTAGCCGAGGGGGAGAATCTGGTCCCAGCGGGATTGACACAGTTCGCCAAAGACGCGACCTTTGGGTACAAAAGCTCCAATCTGAGGGACTATGTCATGGAGAAAGCGCCTGGGCGGTTCGCCCCCGAGCAACTGCACTCGATCACAATCGAGGATATCCGAATCGGCGGGCCCGATGCCGTATTCGAGAAACTCACGAGTTTCCCCAAGGGAGGCGTCGTCATCGTCAACGCCGCAGCGGAGTCAGACATGCACGTTTTCGTCGCCGGTTTGCTACTGGGTACGTTCGAACGCTTTCTGTCACTGATCCAATACTGAGTAAGAACAGCCGAAAGCAAAGGAAAACATTTCCTCTACCGCACCGGCGCAGCCTTCGTCTCCTCCCGGCTAGGAATCCGCTCCATCCCACCCATCACAGCCCAACAACTGGCTCTCCCCTCCCCCCGGGAAACAGGCGGCCTCATCCTCGCCGGCTCCTACGTCCCCAAGACAACCGCCCAGCTCAAGGTCCTGACCGATACCCGCGGCGCAACCGGCGCCCTCGCCATCATCGAAATGGACGTCGCGGATCTGATCGCCTCCCCCGAAAGCGCGGAGCGCGTGATCCGCCGCGTCGTCCAGCAGACAGAGACGCACCTGCAGTCCGGCATGGATACGCTGGTCATGACGAGTCGGAAGCTGATAACGGGGCAGGATGAGCTCGACTCGCTGGCTATCGGGGCAAGAGTCGCAGAGGCGCTGGTTAAGGTTCTGCAGCAGATACAGGTGCGGCCGAGATATATCATTGCAAAGGTAGGGAATCGTGCATTGCGAAGTGAGAATTCTTCAGCTGATCGATTGGGTTGTTGCTGTAGGGCGGGATCACCTCTTCCGACGCTGCTACCAAGGGGCTTAATATCAAGCGGGCCATGATTGTCGGTCAGGCTGCGCCTGGTGTGCCGCTCTGGCGATGTGATGAGCCGACGTCCAGGCATCAGGGTGTCCCGTTTGTTGTGTTCCCGGGCAATGTGGGTGGGGAGTCGACGCTGTGTGAGCTGGTGGAAGCATGGAGCTGAGGATAGACGTCGTCTGTATGTATAGTCTCACAATGATCTGAATGCACTTATATCCAATTGAAGAGTCTACAACAAGTAAACTGATTTACAGATCGGGAATTGGATACTGGACTATGTGGCCCGTAGGCCACGCGGAATGTGTACCTTCATTCAACTAACCTAACCGGCACTTGAGCCAGATAATAACTGCGTAAAGGGACGGTGATATGTACAGCCACATACCATGTTTGCGTCAGACGGAAATCTCCACCATACCAGTATCAAACGCCGTGAGAAAAAAAGCCCGCCCATACTTAGTAATGCAGATATGTGCCATATTTAAATTTTGATGGCTCCAAGAGCGCCCTCTCGCAAGATTGCTGGAAAAGCGGCACCGAACCAAGAAATGTTTGTTTCGTTGCGTAGGATGGGGAACAAGAGAGGGATGAAGGCGGGAGAATAATGACGACCAACCTTGTTATCTGACCTCGATTGCGCTGTTCGTCGAGGTGAAGTCCAAGACGTTAATCAAGCGCGACCTGCAAAGGCAGAGTCAGCTGGAGTTAGTTGTTCACCAACACAATATCTTTGTTTGTTGGGATTTCAACTTCCATCAGTGGTTTAGGCGTCGTGTATCGTTTCAGTGAGAACATAATGGGGACCGGCCCCAACACGACGAGTAGTTCGGCCTCAGGTGAGGGATGCTCACGCAGGTGTTGGCGTACCGGAGACTCCGTTGGAGGTGACCTGCCGCTTTGCAGCTGGAATCGATGCGTCCTAGAAAGTAATTGAAATTAGTCAATCCAATGCCGGAACTCCAAGAGCATCAACGGAAATGCGAAATATCCGCTTTCGTCCGGTGACTCGTTTCCCGCTCGTTATCTTGTTTGACTCTCTTGCATGCACTTACGTCCAAGGATTCGATACTTCGCTTTTGAGCGCCTGCTTCGGGTTTCTTGATGATCTTCTTCTTGGGGCGCGTGGGACGGGTTTCTCCCGGTTGGAAGACATCGTCGGGAAGATCAAAGCTGGTTCTCAAATCAAAACATATTCAACGAAGAGAGGGAATTATGTTTAGACTTACTTGCGAACGTGAGTGATGGAGAGATCATTAATGCCGGGTTGGTATCCTGCCCACGAAGTACATGTAGATTTAAAAATCTGGGCATCCGTAGATATGTCCAGCGAACGGGAGGCACCTTCTACAGTCAGCTAGCTCTCGAGGTCAAGCGCCATACATACCTGGCTCCAATGGCTTCAACTCCAAGCCGATATAATACGTCGTGGTGTAAATGATATGGCTATCACCATTTGCGCTCTTCTCACCGACAGGCTCAACCTCGGCATTCTCAACTCCGCTGAGAGCTGCGGCTTGGTGTGCAGCATCTTTCCTTTCATCTGTGGTCTCCGTCTTCGTACCTTTGTCCTGATACTTGGTAGAACCGTTCTTTACGGCCTCTGCTTCCTCTTCATTGGAGACGATATGCACTCTCTCAAAGCCTTTTGGAAATGGGTGAGCCACCGCGATGGTAGGCTTGCGATCCAACGCTCCGACGAGGTGTCTGATCTTGGATTCGACAAGACCAGACCACACCGCTTCCGCTTCCTTAGTTCTGCTTGAGGCAGTGATACTAAGATAGTATTTGTAATCCTGCGTGAAAAATGAGTGCCGTGCAAAGAGATCATTCCAAGTCAATTGCTTCAGGAAAATCTTGTCTACAATATCACCTCCCCGCTGGAGCTCGCGAAGGATAACCGCCTTTGTGGACATTGAGATGTTGTGCGTCGCACACATCGATGGATACGCGGGGGTGATGATAGGCATAAGGTGGAACCGGTCACCATGGTAAATCTATCATTGATGTCAATATCGCGAAGAATGCGGCGCAGTGTCCTTCGTTGCCCTTACCTTGGGATTCCAGACCTTTATCTGTAGAGGTCCGTCCTCGATTGGCTTTAGCAAGACAGGCTGGGGCCACGCCCACTTGTTCATAATGCGGAAAAACTTGCCGACGATCACAGACCCGGTAGCGTGTGGATATAACTGACAGACTCGTGCTACTAGCATGGCCCAAGCGACACCACCCGGGAATCCTACAATATTGGAGTAAATGGCCCGGCCTGTAAGTCGGTGTCAGCATGTTTGCCGAGAGATGATGAGAGGAGAGACAGATGGGATGTCCTTACGCTGAGCCCAGAGCTTGATTGCGCGTAGAGCAAGACGAAACGTCTTTTGCTGGGGGACCAGTTCCAAAATCTCATCTGTGACACGAGTTCCGTTCAGCGACCGCACCTCCTTCTCGTCAAGTCCCCTGAGGTAATCATTATTCTTCAAGTCGAGATTGAGAGGGACCGACGACACAATCAAACGGGCAAAGATGAGATCGATACTGATACCGGACAACTCCAGCTTGATGATCGGGACGAAGGCGTCGGGAACTGGTGTCATCTTTTCGATCGCCCCGGGAGGAGCCATCTTCTCGAGCACTGGGGGAAAGTCTGAGAAGAAATCGTCAATGAGGACATGCTTGGGGCCGACCACGAGTGTATCAATATCCGAGCCTATCGCGTTGTCAATATCACAACCATTGTGAT